TAAGCGTAGGATGAGCGGCAATCTTCCCCCAGAGCTGGCTCTTGTTGGCAGACAGGCTCAGGCCTTGGCTCCAGCCAAAGGAAACCCCATGTTCAGGTGATCCAGGAGCAAAATACATGCCTGGCCAGGCCCTCTGCCATCCCTGTGCTGTCCCCCCTCGCCCCCAGCGTGCTGCACAGTGGGTCTTTGCAGCATCTCTGCTAGCTACGCCCAGGGCCGGAGAGGAGCTGGCCAGGCAGTGGCTGCAGGACTCCGTGGTGTTGCCAAGGGGACTCCCTGGCCGTTTCTTGAATTCGCAAGTCTTCCAGATAACCAGTGATAAAGGAATCCAGCCCAGCACGTACGTGTGTGAATGAGAGAGTGAATGGAGTTGGAGGGGGATGGTATTTTGGTCGCAGCCAGCCTAGGTCCAGTAGGAGCCAGCGTGCTACAAGCAGAAGGCCCTACAACCCTTCATGGACTGCTTCCCCAGCAGAGTCCTCAGCACACGCACAGCCAGGGAAACCACTGGCTTCTCATGCTAATGCTGTGGGAGTAACCTCCTCATACCTTGGTGGTGTTAAGCTCATGGTGGAGGGGGAGAAGAGACTAATTAATTCTACGTGTACTGGACTGCAACCCATGCAGCCCTTGAAAGCAGAGGCACTAGTTGTGGTAATGAAGTGGTGCATTTCCATGCTTCCATTAGCATGACTGAACGCATTTCTATTGACTGTTTATAATATGTTTACTTAAAATTAGTTCTGCTTAAGCCTGTGTAATTAATGGCTTTAGCTCCTAAACTGGGTCTGCAGCAAATGCTGCACAGTGCGGAAGACAAAAACAAATACTGCTAACTACATGATGTCGGGGCAGTGAGAGAACACATGCCACTAATTTTGTCCCAGGTGGAGTTTGTGGCAGTGCATTTCCCTGTGTTCTCTCTTCTTTCCCTGTCGTCTGGGCTAATCACAGAAGGAACTAACTCTGGTGCTGCCCAGCAGGTCCAGGATGTCTACACTTAGGTTGTAGCATCCACACTTGGTCCTGAGAAGAGAGGGGCCAGACACTTGGAGGAAAGTGGTGGACAAGTTTACATGTCCCACAGAAGTGGGTTGCAAAACAGCAGGAGCAGGGCTGTTTGCCTTTAGACGGTTCAGGTTTGAAAGTGCCTGAAGGATGAGTATTTCCCACTGGGGGGTAGTACTTTGCAGGCTTGCCTTCAGTGTCTGAACTCCTGCCTTCCTGCTTATCTGTCAATGTCTGTGATGTTTTGAGGGCCCCCGTACAGGGTCTTGCATGGCAGGTCTGGGCTGAGGTGGAGCGCCAGTCTTGGAGTGCAGCACACCTGCACCCGCATGCTGGTATCTCGGTGTCCTTTGTCTGGGCCTGAACAAGAATGTGCGTTGCATCCTCAGGCAGAGGGGAATGCCACCGGTCTATGTGGGTACTGGGGCCTGTTCCAGCACAGCCAGCAGCCGTGAGCTGCTGCTGCCCTAGTCAGTGCCCACATCTGGGCTCGTTTTTTGCTGTTGTTTCAAATTGCCCACCACCCCAGATATTGCTTTCTGGGACACTCGGAGGCTTCTGCCTTCATCCACTGCAGCCTGACCTCTGTTTGCAGCTCTGGTGCTGAGCAACCTGTGCTGTGCTGTGCCGTGCCAGTGCAGGAGTGACGTTGCCCTGGGGATGAATAGCAGGGTGAGCCTATGCAGGGGCTTGCCAGTCCCTGGCAGGCACAAAGGTCCTTGAGGGATCTGGCAGTTATTGCCTTGCAAATCTCATTTTAATCCCTGGGAAGACAATGGAACAAATGGTGAGAGAGAATCCCTCAGTGCAATGGTTGAGCCTGGAGTTGATCAACCCTGGGGGCCCATAAGGAAGTGATCCTGCCAGATGAAGTGTGCTGGTCTCTTCATACAGAAGGGGAGGGTAACGGGAGTGTTGGGTTTAGTAAGGCAGTCGGCACTGTCTCCCCCAAAATCTGAATTTAGAACTGAGTTTATGCCAACTTGGGTAGTGAGGGGCTGGCAGCAGGGTATGGGAGTGTTAAATGAAGAGGAGAAAAGCCAGAAGTATTGAACTGGGTGAAAAGTGCTGAGCGAGGTGTGCAAGGGGTTGGCCTTATTTACAGTCTCTGCTGCTTGTCTGTGATGCAGCATAAGAAGCTAATGAGGTTCCACCGTGGTACCACAGAGGGAGGAGAGCTAGAGAGCAGCGAGGGCAGAGCAAAACAAAGGAGCGCCCACGATCAGAGGTTTCAGCAGACGGCAGCAAAGTGGAACCCAGCTGGGAGGGCGTGTGCAGAGCCCTCAGAAAGCTGCGCCTCTGCTGCAGTTAGTTCCCTCGTACAATGTGGCCAGGCAGGAGGGGTTTGTATGAAGGAAGTGGCCCCGGGTGAACCTCCTGCGCAACTACACTGTGCCACACTGACGTGGCCAACCACGGTGACTTGCTGCGCCAGACCGTGACACTGCATTGCACCTGCACTGGGGCTTCTACTACTACAGCAGCAGCTGTGCTGGTTTCACACCCCAGTAGAGGCAGGGCCTTGGAGCCCACTGGATGGGGGCTGCCTCAGGGGACTGGAGTCAGGTGACCCCCACAAATTTATCTCCTGTTCCCTGGCTGCACAAGGTGGGAGCACATTGCCAAGTGCTCCCATCTCAGCGTGGTGGCTGGGGCTGTGTGGGAGAGACTGTACACTCTCATGCTGCCTCTGCTTGTTACCTATTAAGAATGGCCAAGTGGAAACCCCCACGGTCCTGGGCAGACCTGGCTTGGTAGCGGCTCCAAACGTGGGTTGTTGCAGAAGGCCCAAGAGACTGGTATTCACTGCCCAATGAGAGGAATGCTCCTGGGGGAGAGACAACAGGAAGAGGATGACATAGGAAGTGTAAAAAATAGCCTGACAAATTCTGTGCAGAGGCTCAAGCTCTGCAGGGTGCATGGCATGTAATCTTCTCTGTAGATGCTGGTGTGGAGAGAAGCAATGTTTTACTGCAGTGCTTAACAGCAAACCTCCTGTGCTGTACAGAAGGCTGCACGTTAGCAAACCACCCTGCAGTCCCTGGTGAGCACTGTGCAGCGGTCAGGGCTCTTAGGACATATCTGGTGTCTGCCTCCTCTCCCTGCCGTACCTATCTGCATAAAACCTGAAGAGGCAATAAATAATGCTTATACTCTGATTTGGCATAAAAACCAACCTCCATCCTGGGTTGCTTTTGCAGAGGAAATGGCTTTCAGGAAGAAGAGGCTGTGCATTAAATTTATCCCTCGAGACTCCACAGAGGCTGCGATTTGTGATATCCGAATCCTGGGCAGGTCTAAGCAAGCTCCTCCACAGTACACTTTTATAGGGTGAGTACCTCTTCATCCAGACTCCACTGCCATGTTTGCCTTTGGGCAGCGGGTACCAAAGCCAGGCACTGTCACTTCCTGCAGGACTTAAGTGAGGGTTTATAAGCGTTAATTAATGTTTGTAAATGGGATGGTGCTGTATAAGTGCAAAGGATTATCAAGCTCGGTGTAAGAATTAATTGATCCTCTGTAGCAATTAGCTTGGTTCTGATTACACATGTTTGATAGCCGTGTGCATACGCTGCATTTACTAGTAGCCTTAATGGCTTTTCTGTTTTAATTACAAAGGGAACTGAACAATATGGGCATTTGGTACCGAATGGGCAGGGTGCCACGAAACCACGAATCTTCACAGCCCACGACTCCCTCTTCCCAAGCACCAGCTTCGACACCAGCTCCCAACCTCCCTAGGTAAGTTCTGCTGCTTTTGCCTTTGCTTGCTTGTTCTGTCCTGCCTGGTGGAGCGGCACAGCTCCCTGTTGCTGGTACCCATCCCAGTGGGGCTAGGATCACAGGCAGTGTCCTAAAATAAATCATTACACAGCCCACCCTTTTGTGTTGGGCAAGAGGCAGTCGTCCCCAACATTGGCTTCCTGAGAAGTGGCGTGGGTGTTATGTAGGGAGGACACACAGATGCTGTGGAGTGAGTTGGTGGTAAACCAGACAGAACGGAAAAGAAACGTGTCAAGAAAAAGAGCGCTTCCTTTCCCCGGGGCTTCCGAGCAGGCCTCAGCCAGCCTGCCAGCCTAGTTCAGACCGCAAACAGTTCTGTGCATGGAGTGGCCTGTATTGTGTGCCTCGTACAGCCAAGAGCACACTCTCAGCCCTCGGCAGACAACAGCACTATTGTAATGCTGCTTCCAGCTGCTTCTCTTCCTGTGCCTTGAGCTGTGTGCAGAGCTATCTGCATAAAACCTGAAGAGGCAATAAATAATGCTTATACTCTGATTTGGCATAAAAACCAACGTCCATCCTGGGTTGCTTTTACTGGGTCTTAGCCTGGTGCAAGCAGGTCTGCCAGTTGTGGGCTGGCCAGCAGTCCAGCTACCTGGACCTCCCACCTCCCACATCACAGCTGGATAGGTAGAGGCGGGTGGGCTTGCAGAGTGGCTTTCGCACATTGAAGTTGTTTGTATGAAGAGAAAGGACCAGTGTTTCCTGAGCCCCACAATTAATCGTCCTGCACTGTGAGGCACGAGGCTTGCTTCCTCCTTGCCATGGCCCCATGGTCCCTGAGCTATACCCGACAAATGGCAGGGACTGCTGCCTGCCTTCACCCCACGCGTAGCAGTGCCAGAGCCCCACTTGGGCTGCTGATGCACTCCTTGTCCTTGCAGTCGGCTGTGCCAGGTGTGTGCCTATTCATGTGTATGTGCGTGTAATCCCTCTGTAGAACAACAGGAGCACAGTTGTAGCTTATAGTTACTTCCTGGCATCTCCTGGGCAAAGCACAGCAGTCTCAAAAGCCAAACAGGCAAGCCATCTCATGCAAAAGTCATTTGGAAACTTCCCTGCACCCCAGGGGAGAGGGGTCCTGCAACCGAGGAGTCTCTCCCAGACTCTTGCCCTGTGCAGCTGCCACAAGGCCACGGGTCCTTCCAAGAGCCCTCTGTGCAGTGCTTTTATAGAGCACGTGCCTTCTGTCGTGCCAGGGTTTCTGAATGCACAGCCAGTATTGCAGATAGGTTTACAGTGCTAAAGTAAATGTTTAGTGCTCTTATTTCTAAGGAAGTGGGGGAATTCCTCTGAGACTGTGTAGCATATGAACCCCAAGGTATTGCATGAATAGAAAATACTGCCCAGACCCTCATATATTTGTTCAGCTGGATGTTTCTGAGAGTGGCAGTCTCGGAATGACCTGTAGAAGGTTTCTGGATGGTAAGCTATGGTAACTTCCTCCTCGTTAAGGCTGCTGCATGCAGCTCTTGACCCTTCATACTGGTACAAGCCAGTATATCTCAGCGACTCCTCAGCCATCATCAGTGGCTTGCGTTTGACAAGTTATTTCACAGAGAGTTTTGCTCTGTCTTGAAGGAAGTGGTGCTGCCTGTCACTGTCTTGCACCCAAGGTGCAGCTGGGCTTTTGGCTCAGTAGGCAGTGGTGTAAGAAGTGGGTGTCTGCCCCGAGCCCTTGGTCTGTCCACATGGAGGTGCAGTGTTGTTTCACAGTGCCACTAGGTGCAAGCTGTGTAGCAGCAGGCCGCACGAGAGCAAAGGGAGATGTCTCCTCTTCACAGCAGAGATCAGCATTTTCTGTCTGTGAGAACAGGACGGCAAGTTTCCATGGTAAAGAGAGAACGTATCTGAGCAAGGCAGCGTGCGGGGCTGTCCTTAATCGCTAAGTGTGAAAGGGTCGCTTTATGGCTGAGCAGGGAGGGATGCAGAACAGCTCCAGAGCCATCGGGAACAGGGCCAGGACTGGAGCTCAGCACATCAGCGACAGTCTGAAAAGAAGAGTTTACAAGGCTTATATATTTTATAACCTCTTGTTGTACAGTTTATGGTTTACAATGGCTGCAAGGAAATTGGATCAGTTTTGTTTTACTTGCCAAATAAACCAAATGTCAAAATAGTCAATATAAAATGTATTCTAATTTGGCTGAGTTAAAACAGCCGGTATGTGGTGGAATAATTGAATGTTACATTAATGCCTCCTAGTAAAAACCACCTGTCTGTAGCCAGCTCTACTCTCGTGCCCCACATGTGATTTACAGGTAACTTTCACACCAACAGCCAGTCATTCAAAGCATCTTGCGTGTCTGTTTTTACACCAATTATTTATTATCCAATATTTTTTTTTAGAAATAGAAATGTATATAAAGATGCATCCTGCAAATATTTCTTTATTAGAGGAAACATATGTTAGCTGAAAAGCTGCTTTAACATTTTATCCACAGAGTAGTAAGTTATTCAAGCTTAATGTCCATGGAAGATTGCAGTCACAAGTAACCTCTTATTTTTACATGACCATAGAGATAAGAGATTATGCTTGTAGCCAGTTGCCACTTTATTCCGCATGGATATATGCCAACAGCAGCAGCAGAAGATTGCTCTGAGCTGTGCAGTGAATACCCAGACAGAACCAGTGCACAGAAGAGAATATTGCCCCACCAGGATTTTCCTGTGAGGACGGTCAGACATTTAAAACCACTCTCTTATTTCTGCCTAGCTGTGTAGAATACTGTGCCTTTAAATCACGACATCCAGCAGGGAAGCCTTGGTGCTTCACAATCATTGCGAGTGCTACGAATATAAACCAGGGCAGTAAAACACCCAGGTAGATGCTGTGTGGCTGAGCCCTTTCATATGGGAGGACTCTTTATAGCATGCGGTTGTCTGTTCTGTGCCAGGCGTCCTCCTCCAACTCGGCAGACATGTCTGTGGCCGATGGCGAGTGATGCTGGAGCATTCGGACTCCGTCCTGGGGCGCTGCTGCTCTGCTGAAAGCTTGGCCTCTAAGCCCCGCTTGCCTCGGGCCCTCTGTGCTATGCAGGGAGAGTGCACCCCCAGGCTTATTTTAGTGCTGCCCCAGCATTTCACTCTTCCTCCCAGTGATGGGGGCAAGGTCAAGGAGTCCTTAACCTCTGCCCCAGGATTTGTTGGGAGCGGGGAAGTAGGTCCCTGGGACTTCCTCTGACCTGGTTTCCATGTTCTGCAGCTCAGCTGTGTGCTTCGTCTAATGCTTGCAATGGCCCTTTCCAGGGACAGAGTCTTGAAGGGCACGTGGTCTCATTCCCTCCACTCCCCAAGAGGCTGCGGAGGAATTGTTGTGTTCCCTGAGCTCCAGGGCCTGCCTGGCACTGTCCTTCGGGAGTGGTGCCTGCAGTAGAAGTACACCTCTACCCCTCACCTTCACACACCGAGTCACCAGGAGGAAGCTGCATCTGCCGGACCCCTTATTGTAGGTGTCTGAGTTTATGGTCCCAAATTCCAGGCCCCACAGACACCCGTGAGGATGACACGTTGTGTTCTCGTGTGACCTGGTGAGCTGCCATTGTGCTTCCCAAGATGGCACAGCATCAGGTCTTCCCCCCAGACTGTCAGGCTCTTGGCATCGATGGCAGCCTGAAGAAATGCTCTTACAGTTTCCTGCCCCAGAGGCTGCTGCAGAAGCATCCATTCTGTTGCCTTGAGTTGCTGTTAACAGAGTAATCCTGCATGCAGGGTTGCCGCTCGCTTTCCCCCATGCTGTTGCTCTGTGCTCCCGACTTGGGGAGCTTGGTAGGTGGTGTTCCACGACCAGATGCTCATGACAGATATTTTAGCCTTGCCTTTTGAGCGCTGCTCCTTAATTGCCCGGTGTGAACAGCACGTGGATCCGCCCACCCCTATGTGCCAGAGACCTTGCTCCATGTTGATGGCATAAGGGCCCCATTACCAGTGTGATGAGGGCCCCGTGCAGCCTGCATTTAGGTTTGCCCAGTGCTCAGCACCCTCCATAACCTGAACCCCAGTGCTCTGGGCTGGGGCCCTGACCGCTAGCACCCGCAGGGGAGCTAGCCTGCTGGCTCTCTCCGCTGGCCTTGGCTCACGTGGATGCTCCAAGTTCCTTCCCAGGGTGCCGCTGGAGCCGGCGCCAGAATCATTCAAACAATCTTCGAACAATTTGTCAGCTTCAAGGAAGATGTCACTCAGTGCTGCCGAGTGTGTTTTACAGTGACAGACATAATTGCACTTAACTTTTTGCGTGGATGTTATCAATCTGTGACAGATACTTTGGGAAATGGAACGCTTTGATTGCAAAAGATGTGTCACATGCGTTTAATCTTCCTCTCGGCGAGACCAGGATTCAGTCACAACTTTTGCTTGTTGATGTCAGGTTTTGAGAATGTAGCTCGGCACTGACCCTGGAACCGCTCCGTCATTCAGCTCTCAGGGCTGTCATCCAAAGGTTAATGGCTTGTGGGGGGGCGGGGGGGAAATTGTGCTGGATTTCCCTTCCCCCAGGCAGCCTGGATTCATGTGTGCTGTGCCAGGCTGGGCTCACAGAGCATGGGACTGGAGCAGTGGGAGCCCCTCTCTGCCCCTGCAGAGCTCGCCCTCCCCACAGGCCCTGTGGGCTGGATGGCACAGCTCTATGCCTTTTCCTCTTCCTTTTTGTACATGACCATAGAGAAACAAGAACAGTGGGTGGGAGGGGATCACCTAACAGCCTGGTCTGCCCTTTGAGAGCCAGGAATCCAGAAGCTGGCCTGCCTGGCAGAGCCCCCTTGAAAACGGCCTGGTAGAGGACCCAGTTGGGCAGGGCACTGGTGGTGGAAAGGCTCAAGATGGAGGAAAGCTGCTGAGAAACTGTTTGGGCCTGCAGCAGAGACCAGAGGAAAGGCCTGTGTGCCCTGCACCTGGGGGGGAGTGCCATGTTTGTGGGGTCAACGGGCCACCGAGGAGATGCCTGATCCGATTTCCGGCTG